TCTCTCTCTCTCTCTCTCTCTCTCTCTCTCTCTCTCTCTCTCTCTCTCTCTCTCTCTCTCTCTCTCTCTCTCTCTCATATCCGTACCCGCTCGCCTTTTCCTTTCTTCCTTCTCCATTGCCTCCCTTCCGCCTGGCCGATCCCACATCTTCTTTCAACTTGAGCCCCCCCATCTTCCCCCCACCAATCCACTTTTCCCCATCCTCTTCTCTCCCTGTCCTGTGTCTGCCGCCTCTCCTTTCCTCCCTCCTTCCTCCACGCCTTTCTCTCCTCAGTTGGGATCCTCTTCGACCTCCTCTCTCCTTAACTCGATGTCGCCGCTGCGGATCTGGTACGTCCTTTCCTCTCTCTTCCTCTGTCTGTCGCTCTTTCTCTCTTCATTGCTCTCTCCCCATCGCCTGCGTATCCACATTAACCCTATCCCTCTCGTGATTGAGGCCCCCTTCGTCATTATCCTCCTCTCTTTTTCCCTTACCTGTTCCCTCCCCTCCGCTCTCGGATCCTCTTCCTGCCTTGAAAATCTCTCCTTCCCCACCTTGTTCGGATCCCCCCTACACGCCCTGCATTCCTTACCCTGTTGCGTTGGCCTTCTTCCCCCTGCACTTCATCGGCTTCCTACATCCTCAACCTGATTGGCTGACATTCCGCCCTCCTCCCCCTCTCGATTCCACATCCTGATCCCCCCTCCCCCTCCCAGTCCGCGCTGCCCATCCCCTTCTTCACAAATTGGGTCCCCGACCTACATCCTCCCCCCATTTACTTCAGGACCCTCCTCCTCCTCGACGTCTTCCTCCTCGACGTCTTCCTCCTCCACGACCTCCTTTACGCCGGCAAACTACCCTCCATACTTCACCATATCCCAGTGACTCTCCTTCGGCTTGCTCCGTCGTGGCATCGTGGCATCCCATCCTGACCGATCGAATCCCGACTCTCTCATACTCCTGATCCCGGGCATCCTAACCCTCCCCCCATCTCCTTCTCCTGCTACTCCAGCATCTCAAAATTTCGATAGAGACCTTGAGCCTCGCTGCACTACTCTCGATATGCACAAAAGACAAAAATGATGGCGGTGTATCTTTCCATGTTCTAGCAGAAGATTCACTCTCGTTTTGCACATGTCGAGAGAGTAGTGGAGCGAGGCCCCTTCTCCTGCCTGCATGACCAGGTACTTGACCTCCCCCTACCGGTAGTGTTCCTTCTTCCCCCCTGACTCTCCGCATGCACGGCATGATCCCCACCTGCTCCTTCCGATAGTGACCGTGCAAAAATCCAGTCCACCTTGAAACGTGGCAACCCCACACAACATGGAGTTGCAGCGCTGAACGTGCATGGAGGGAGGAGGGAAGGAGGGATGGAGGGAGGGAGGCGGAGAGAGAGAGAGTGGGTGCACTTCGCGCACGCGGGGCGAACGCACCTATTTGGTTCGCATGGAGGGAGGAGGGAAGGAGGGAGGGAGGGAGGGAGGCGGAGAGAGAGAGAGTGGGTGCACTTCGCGCACGCGGGGCGAACGCACCTATTTGGTTCGNGAGGGAGGAGGGAAGGAGGGAGGGAGGGAGGGAGGCGGAGAGAGAGAGAGTGGGTGCACTTCGCGCACGCGGGGCGAACGCACCTATTTGGTTCGGGGGGTGAACGCTAAGAGAGAGAGGGTGAGAGAGGGAGGGATGGTGGGCAGGAGGGAGAGAGAGAGGGAGAGAGGAGGGGCGGGAGGGAGGGAGAGAGAGAGGGTGCACTTCGCCACGCCGCGGGGACTCACCTATTTCCTTTTTGGGCCAAGTGTTAATGGAGCTCTCCGCATCTTCAGTCACAACACCGCAGGCGCGGAGAGGGGATAACGAGAACGAGAGAGAAAACGAGGCTTGCGCTTCCGCACGGCCGTTTGCGCACGAAGAGCCTTGCGCTTCCGCACGGCCGTTTGCGCACAGCTCGACTCTGCTCCGCCTGCCTATTCCTTTCCGGCATTCTGCCCATACTTGGGGTGTGCCAGTGCCAGTGTGGGTGTACTCACCACACAAGGGCTTTTCCTGGATGAATCTGACTGCAATTCGGGCCCGTCCTGGATGAATCTGATCGCAATGACGTCCGCAGAAGAGTGGAAAAAGTCCTGGTANGGGCTTTTCCTGGATGAATCTGACTGCAATTCGGGCCCGTCCTGGATGAATCTGATCGCAATGACGTCCGCAGAAGAGTGGAAAAAGTCCTGGTATGAGTAATGCCCGGCGTCGACTCGAAAAGAGTCGGCTACAGCCCGCCAGACAATTCTAACCGCGAAGGCAACTCTAACTGCGAAGGGCCTTTTCTTTTCTTTTTTTTTTCTTTTTTTTCTTTTTTAATTCAAAAGGGCGATGGCCTTGAGATATTATCATTGGAGCTGACCAGCCCCAGGCAATTCAGAAATTATTTGGTGGCCTATAGGGGTCCGACCGGCGCGTTTCCGCTGGCGCTAATTTCGAAGCACTCGGACCAAACGCGATCCACCGGCAACGGGGGAACGTTCGGCTGGAAGTACTACCAGGGCGATAGTACTGCGGCAGGAGCGTCGTTCACTACCATCCGCGTTGACGGAGGTCGTAGCACAAGCTACGTTGGGCGAAGCTGCGAACACCCGAGTTCGGACCAGACAACAGGAACACGAGCAAGATAGAGGAGAAGAAGGATAAACAAGGTACCATATAGGGGGGGAAGTAGAGATAAGAGGGAAAATCTCCTCGATAAGGTTAGGGTTGACGCCAACATAGTCAACAGAGGTAGGATTAGCAAATGCACAGTCGGAGGGGAAGATGGCGACGCCTATGGCTGTAGGAGGGCGCTCTCCCCCGGCGGCACCAGAACAGCCTTTGGATGAAGATGAGAGTATGATCAGGGAACTCGCACGGTTATGTTATGATGAAGGGATTCTGTCAGGGTCAGTGGATCCGGGGGAAATGACAGTGGATGGAAGGGAAGTGACCTTTAGGGTGAACGAACGGATAGATAAGACAAAGGTTAGCTGGCTCAAAGAGCACACAGTCACGGTGATATTTAGGGAGGCAGCGCGCTTCTTTCCGAAGAAACTCAAAGACGATGTGGTGAGAGCATACGAAGATGAACGAACGCAGGACGGGAGTTTTGAAGAAGGCTCGTTCAGACGGGGGAGGGTGAAGGTTGAGAGTCCGAATGTGGTTTCCTATATAGCGAAGAGTGCGGCAATAGCTACATGGTTGAAGAACAAGGGCCAGGACGCGATCACACTGGGAAGTACGAGATACGTACTAGAGTTCAAGCCGTGGCTAACAAGGGTTCAGTTGAGAGAGCAGAGGAGAAGGGACGAGGAATCCACGTTCTGGGTCATAGCAGTACAAGTGCCCCTGGATACGATGTTCTATCTGGAAGCTCAGATCCAGAAGGCGATTGGCCCTGTAATTTTGGCACACCCGCCGGAGCCTGACCGTCTCAAACCGTCACTAATTAATCTCAAATTTGATTTGGAACTAGCCGCGCGGGGGAATATGAAGGATAAGATTTCTGTGATAACTTTCAAAGGGGACACATTAGTAGTTAACTTGGCTTCCTCGGATACGCCAATGTGCAGGAAGTGTAAGGCGTTTTTCCACTCTGAAGATCAGTGTCGTCGGAATCAGCAACAAGATCGTTCACATGGCCCTCAACAATCCTCACCGGTTATTCGTGGAGGATATCAAGGCCCGTTGCGCCCACGTCCGACTCATTCAGAAGACGAGCGGCGAAGGCCGGCGAGCCCCTCACTGAGTGGAATGGACCAGAATCATTTCAATCCGGTTTTCTCACCGAGACTATTCCCGGGACAAGGAGGACAAGCACAGGAGCGGATGATCCCAGGAGGGGAAAACGTCAACGGTCCCTCGACTTTTATGCCATGGATATCTCAAGGCATGCCGGGTCTCACTGTGCCAATGGGCGGCTATGGACTCCCACCAGGACTGTTTGGAAACGCGCAAAGGGGCGATCTCTTTGGTGGATATAGTGGTCCAAATGGAGGAGGGCATTTCATACCGACGACAAGAATGGGGGGATACCAATACGAAGACCAATCTATCTTCGAAAGGTGGCAACAAGAAGGTGGCATCAGACGAGGGCAGGACGAAAGGCAGGAAAGAGGAGAAGAGAACAGGGGAAGGGTTTTCGGAAACGGTAACTCCCACGCTGCAGGCAGGCAGGGAGCAGAGGGAGGAAGACAAGAGGAAGAAGGAGGACAGCTTGATGACAGGAGACAGGGAAACCGAACACCAGGCAAGCAGAGAAGACTTAGCAGAGAAGGAAGCTTCGCTTCGAATTTGAGAACGGAGCTCTCTGGCTCCTCGTCACACTCCGCGTCCTCTCAACCATAGGAGATAGCTACACCAGGGTCAAAGACAACCCGTAGAAGAGGGCCGGTGACAGTGAACAGTGGACAACAGGACAACATCGAGTCACGAATATTGCCTCTCTTCTGCTCAATGGTTAGGGGAAATGTCTTCTTCATTGGGTAGACGAATGCAGATTTGTCAACGAGTCTACTGACACTCGGATCTCCAAAGACCCCGATGCCGATAGCGATTACAACGCTGCTGAGGACGGTCATTAGAGACAAGTTCCGGTTCAAAATGATATCGGAAGTATTGATGCCTCGGTTACTGCTGGATTATCCAGACAATCGGAAGAAGGTTAAGTTCTTCGTTTCGTTACTGGATGTTCGGTTTGTAACTGGGCAACTGGAAATTCTGGAACTGGAGGGTCTTCGCCTGCTACCGGTAGCATGGATAACGGAGAAGAAAAAGCAAGATCTACGGAAACTAAGAGTACCTCCCTTTCAGTCAGGAGAGTTCCTGGCAGAAGTGGAATCCAAACTACCAAAGGAGAAGAAGCTCTTATCACTTTTTTGGCGATCGTACTTAACCAGCAGCTGGCTATCTGGTTCCGGAGGCAGCACACAACATCCATCCAGTTCTCATCCAGCACATTCCATCCAACAGAACAGAGTGAGGGGTGAGAATAAGCAGAATTAGAATCTCCTTATGGAACGTTCGGGGGTTAGGGGATTCCGGTGGCCGACAAAAAAAGGAAAGGCTAAAGGCTTGGATACATCAGAAGGGGTCCCAGATTACATACGTGCAAGAGACGAAGTTGTGCGAGGAGAAGGTGGAAGCGCTGGGTGCTTGGTGGGATGGCCCACAACTGTGGTCGCCAACACAAGGAACGAGAGGGGGGGTGGGTATTCTGATCCATAGAGGTTTAGACACCACCATCCTAGACTTTTATGCGGATCTATGGGGGAGGTGGGCTTGGATCAAACTGTTAATTGACAATGAGGACTGGGTAATAGCTACTGTGTACGCACCAACAGATCAAAAAGAGAGGAGGATCTTCTGTGAAAAGTTAAGTTATGTGCTACCAGATTGCAAAAGAATGATAGTGGTGGGTGATTGGAACCTGACTCTAGATGATACGGAGTGTAATCAACAAGCCTCCCCAGACAAGGAAGCACTGTTGGGCATAATGTCAGAACTGGATCTAATAGACCCGTATAGGCTAGGCTACCCGGACAAGCAAGGGCTTACATGGTACTCCAATCCCCGCCCAGAGAGAGGGGTAATTAGCAGAAGATTAGACTGCTTCCTGATCTCAACGACTTTGTGGGAGTCAGTGCAGTCTATGGGTGTTGATACCTGAACCTTCTCAGACCATAAACCGGTAAGCCTGAGCATTATAACAGGCCAGATGAGTAGGGGGACGAGATACTTCAAGTTTAATGTCCAGAACTTGGAGGACCCGGGTCTGAGGAAGTGGATGGAGGGATTTTGGAAAGAATGGCAGGCTGCGACAAACTTGTATGGTTCATTAACGGAATGTTGGGACGCGGTTTTCGCAATGTTCTCCAACCTGCTGAATGTTTTTTCTCGGATCTTGGCCTTCGACAGGAATAAACAGGAAAGAGAGGTTGTAAAGAGGATCGAGTACGCAGAGGGAAGGATGGAGCAGCACCCTGTTTCAAGGGTGGTGTGGGGAAGAGAGCGAGCAAGACTGTTGAAGGATTGGGACGAGATACAAGTGAGGAAATCGAAAGTCTGGATGGACCGTTTAAGAGTGAAAGGGGTAACAGTCTATGACCGAATGACGAAGGAGTCATTCCAAAAATTGCTTCCAAGTCGTTCGTCAGTCCCAATGTCGGAACTTCAACATCTGTTTGACGGAAATGCATCAACAGTCAAAGAAGTGACAGAGTTGTGTAACTACGCAGCGATATACTACCGAGACATATTAACTTCTCGAACACAAGGTGCAAATATTGTAACTAATCTCGATGACGGTAATAATCATTGGGACAATACGGTCATTAACCTGTCACAACAGGGACGTCTCAATCTGGATAGGCCAATAACAGAGGAGGAGGCCTTGGGAGCGTTGAAGGCCATGGCCAAAGGAAAAGCACCAGGCTGCGACGGTCTGCCGTTTGAACTCTATTTGGAGTTGTGGCAGGTGATTGGAGGGAATTTGGTGAAGATCTATAACAATGTGTTGACAGGGGACAGATTGTCTAAGAGCATGTGCAGGGGTGTTATCTCAGTCCTGTACAAAAAGGGCGATCGAACGGAGATCAGGAACTGGAGACCGGTGTCCCTCCTAAGCGCATCATACAAGATCCTTGCCAGGATATTAGCGAGAAGACTCGGTCACTTCCTTCCGGAAACAGTGAAATCGGATCAAGCAGCTTTTGTCAGAGGAAGAGCGATTTTTGACAACATTGTCACGACAATAGAGACACTGGAAACGGTACAAAGGGAGGGCATGAACGTCTCGGTACTCTTATTGGACTTGGAGAAAGCGTATGACCGGGTTAACTGGTCGTACGTTCTGACAACGCTGAGACATATGAGGTTCGGGGAGAACTTCACAAAATGGGCCAAGACGTTATATGTTTTCTCAACAGCATCGGTCCTAATCAACGGTGTGCTCTCGAAAGAATTTCCGCTGACAAGGTCCCTAAGACAAGGCTGTCCACTAGCCCCGCTGCTATTCGCGCTGCAATTCAAAGTGGTCCTGAACAACATCAGGGAACATCCTCAAATAAAAGGGATGCCAGTGGGTGTGACAGAATATAAAGTGAAGGCCCTTGCCAATGACTTGTTTGTTGTCTCAGAAAACACGGTTCAGTCTATGACATCGTTAAAAGAATGCTTGGATGAGTATTCAGAGTTGTCTGAGGCGGCGATCAACTGGCACAAATCGGTATACCTGCTGCCTGAGCAACACGAAACGGCGGTAGAATGGGGTATGCGGAGGATAGAACAGAACGGTTCGGAACGCTTCTTGGAAGTTCAAATTTCGTTAATCGACTGTGCGGCCGCACAATCTGACCTGCTACTCCAGAAGTCACTACACAAGCTTGTCACGTGGGGAAAGGCACCCCACCTGTCACTCTTTGGAAGAGTTTTAGTTCTCAACGGTGCACTGTTCACGCTACTCTGGTCCGTGGGAGCGGTGAGAAAGATTGGTGATTGCACTTATAAACTCATTAGGAGAAGGGCCGCAAAATTCATATGGAAACCATATGTGGGAGAGCACGACTCATTCATTTCGAAGGTAGCATGGGAGATGCTCTGTGTTCCAAGAGAGGAAGGAGGTTTGGGCATCGTTGACCCGTGTAAGCAGAACGAGGCGCTGCTGATCAAGTGGATCATACGGGCTTGCTTAGAAGACCCGGTACTGCACTGGGTTTTGCTGGCGGAAGAAACGCTGGCTAAAGAATGGAACCTTCCTCGCACTAAGGATGTGTGGACCTGCCTACTGCTCCACTCTTACCAGCGCAGGACAGTGAAGTCCCCTTTTTGGGCAGCTATCATCGAAGCCTGGAGGAAGCTAAGGCCGAATACTTGGACCTCACTGTCAACGAAAGTGGAGGTTTTGGCACAGCCTCTATTCGAAAACCCGATGATACAGACAAAGGAAGGGACGTGGTTGAAGGCTGACAGTCAACCTCGTAGCTTTGGCAGGGCCTGGATTGAGAAGGGGGTGTTGAGAGTGAGGGACTTATAGGATGGGTTCACCGAGAATTGGAAGCAACCATCTGAGATGAAAGAGAAATTGGGACAACTGCGGGACGTGGAAGAAAGAAGGCAAATGATAATAGATGTTATTCCTGAAGAGTGGAAGGTCATTCTTGACCCAACCTCGACAGACCCACCGGGAACATGGTACATACAACAGAATCAGTAGGGGAGCAAGCTGTGGGAACTCCAGATTATTCAGCCGGACGGGAAACGACTATTCCAGAAATAGAACTATTCACCGTCAGGGAAGCTAGTGCCATTGCTCGGAGATGACCAACCCAGGCTGAGTCCCCTCTGTCACAAATCAGAGTGGTCAAAAAGGATGAGGTGAGAGATGGTCAGACGTTGGCAGTGGTGGCGAATGGGAAACCAGTGTCTCTATTGAGACTAGACCCAAAGTTGTGGGAATGGAGGGCATTGGGTAAGAAAGGAGAAAATGTTAGTCTGTTTAACTACACTCAGCGGATAGGGTACAAGAGCCAGATACCTTCAAAGCACCCGGAAGTGGTAGCGAGATCAAGGTGGGCACAACTCCTACCTCTGGAGCAAGAGGAGATTGGGAAAGCACTGAGAAAATGTTGGGAACAGCTAAAGTTGATCTCTAATCAAAGACTTGCATCGATCCTGTGGCAAGTGTCATTGGTAGCCACCCCCTCGGCAGTGTGGTTGACAGAAAGGGGTATGAAGGTGGAGTTGAAGTGCTGTAGGTGCGAGTGGGCGTTTGAATCCACAGTTCATCTGTGGTGGGACTGCCCCGCCTCGGCAAGAATCTGGAAGTGGTGGCAGAAACAGTGGGATAAATGCACAGAAGGGGAGTTCACCTGAACAAAGGAGTGGTGCTTGCTGGGAGGTGTACACGAAGGACAGAACATCACAGATGGATGGGGCTATATGGCACAGAGTGCGAGAGCGGTGGGCTTCGCGGTGATTTGGCAAGAAAGGAATGAGTGATTGTTCAAGGGCAAAGAGTGGACAAACAGGCAGATTCGCTCAACTTTCAAAAAGTTGTTGAGGCGAACAATTCTGGCAGACTGGAGGAGGAAAGTGGGAAGTACAGAGGAGCAAGAATCAGGGTTGAGCTGGTTCAAGAAAACGTGGTGCAAAAGGGGACAGTTTGGAAAAATAGAGTACAAAAAACTGATTCTGGACCAATGGTTCTTTTCAAATTAGGTTGGATTAATAGGCTTGTTTAGAATGGGTGACATGAACACTCGGTCACAGTTTTTTTTTGGGAAGGTCGCAGGAGACAGGTGGAGGGAAGGAAAGAGGAGGGAGTGTTATTAGGAGCTCCGTCGACTTAGATAATTTTTTTGTGGTGCTAGAATCGATAGGAATGGTTGACAAGTAGAGGATAACTCTTTAATTCTTGTTTTTTCTAGTATTGTTTGGTTTT